CAAAAAAAAAAAAAAAAAAAAAAAACAACAACAAAAAAACCGAAACACATACACACCCACACGCACACTAGCACACGCACACAACACAATATGGCTTCTTAAAAAAATACAAGGAGATGAAAAAAACGCACAGGCATCAAGTCTCTTGACCGCAATGGCGTAAATGCGGTAGCTATATAATAATTGTGTATATTGGTGATATTACTAGCGTATGGGGACCTGGGTAGGCTAAACTGAAAAGCTATGGGACGAAATTGCAGCCAATTCCTGGTCATGTGACCAAAAACAGCCAATCCTGGGCCTGGGCCTGGCGGCAGCGATGGCTTTGGTAAGCGGCGTTATTATTTTTCCAACAAATGCTGTGGCAAAAAGGGCTGTATCACGGGATAGCTGCTCTATTGTTTTGTCTTAACGGGGGGGTGGGGGGGTGCTGACAAAAACCTGAAGGCGACCGATCGCCATGTGTGCAGTGTGGGCGATGCATCGCCACATCTCGACCCCGCGTTACACACAAACAATAGAGCATCTCAGACATTTTTTCGGTCCTCATGGGTGATGTAATGACGGTTACCTTTAAGTGAACAGAGCTGGCCAGCGCCGTTTACAATATGGCCCCTTCAGAAAAAAAAATACTGTTTACAGCACTCAGTTCATTAATCTTATAAAGTGTGACAAAGGCTGGGAAGCCCAGCGTTAGACACAGAAAACATGGAGAAGCTTTCAGATGGTGGTACATCTCAGGAGGTGAGGATGATGCAGTTTGTACTCAGCGATAGTGAGGATGAAGCAGATTTAACAGAGCAGGGAGGCACAAACTCCACTGCGAGGAGACAGGGGGCCTGTTGCTGTGTAAGTGCACTGTTTTGTATATTAAATCATTTATTTGAAATAGTTGCTGGAGATGTGTAGTTTTCTAAAGAAAGGGGGAAAAAAAATCTAAATATAGCCTCACAATACTAAAATAATCCTCACCCTCTGCACACAGGCTGTGAAATTCTTCTTGCAAGCTAATTTTCTGTCTCATCCTGTCGTGTGTGTGTTAAAATGCTCCGCGTGTTTACGCTGAGAGAGCGAGTTCACAACGAGGTCGCTCCGTGGCACTAGAAAAGGAAAAGGAGGGGGCTCCTATTTCTCCTCATAGTAACAGTAATAATACAGTAGCAATCATTTGAGTGCTAATAGTGAGTAGTGAAGGGTGCTGTGGTCTTCAGGCTTGACAGAACGCGCATGTAGATTCAGCACACGATAAGGAAACTCAGGAGTTTAGCGGAGGGTAGTCCGGGGAGCCCCGAGTTAAAAAAAAAAAAAAAGTGCGGTGATCAATCTTTCTCTCCGTGCAAAGATCCTGACAGCAGCTCCTCTCGCTCCGTAAATAACCAGAAACCTTCCAGTCTTTCTCTCTCCACCTCCCTGCTTCAAGTCCACTACTCTCCGTGTCTTATTATTTTTACCTCGCCTTTACTCCCAACAAATATGTACAGAAACGTCGTGGAAAGATATTTTATGTGTTAAAAAACACAACAGCTACCAGGGCCGGACTGATAAAGGCTGCCCCCTCGCTCTCTCTTTCCCATGCATTTGAAAAAGAGCCAGAAAAAGCAGAAATGTGTGTGGGAGTGAGGGCCATTGAGCGCAGCAGAAAGCGCAAGCAGTGAGTAGGCCGAGGCATGACACATACAGACACACACACACAGCCAACACAAGACACAAGCTGCTGACTGGGCTGCAGGGTCACAGCACTGCGCCGCAGCGGCTGGGTTTCTTTAGCTCATTTTTTTTAGAATGTCGGCATTTTGTTTAAAATAGATGTGTTTTGTGAAATTCCAAGAAGTTCTCCGGGAGCGTTGGTTCACAACAGAAGCTAATGTCGCGCCGCATGGGGACCACGGATTGCCTGCTGAAGAGTTTGGGGAGTTTTTATGTATCGGTTAACACAATATAATTTCATTGAATTATGTTTAGTTTAGATTTTTTAAATTGTTTTTTATGTTTATCCTATTTTATTTAGCCTAGCAACTGTTAGTTTGGGATTCTCATAGTGGTATGATAAATAATTATTAAATTCTTTTAATAATCAAATGTAATCTGTATTTAATTTAACCTGTAATTAATACTGATTGGTTGGTAGTACGTTGGTTGGTTCTAGGCCTAAATCGGATTTTAAAAAAGGAATGGTGCTACATAATATTTTTCACATTCATAATATTTTTTACATACTAATATATTGATTGTAGACCTTCTAGCCTATTCAATAAAAATACTTTATCCTTGTATTACAATTACTACTGGTTTAGACGTGTCCCTGTCTGACCATGTGTAGGACTGATTTGTGTGCTCAACATGGCGGGGTTATTAAAGTGCAGTTATCACTTCTGAACAGTGGTTTACAGCGGTGTGTGTACCTGTCAGTGAGCGTGTTCTGCAGTAGCCTAATAGCTGAACTGTTTTCAGCTGAAGCCCAGCCGAGCCCTCTGTCTGTTTTTATGAGGCAATAAATTAGATCCAATCTCTGCTTATTGGTGTTTTTATTGTCTGTTAGTCCAATGGAGATGTAAAGGGAAGTACGGTCGTTATTTATGGGAGCCTGATTTATGTCTTAAGTTTTATGCAGCTCTCAGAACTCCGAGCACCCCCACCCCCCCCCACAAATTTTTTTTAAAAACAGGGGGGGGGGGGGGGCTGTCCATGGCCACGTGACAGGGGAAGGTGGAGGCCTGGGGCTTCTTTTAGTCATAAACAGGAGGAGAGTCCCATTGTGTTTTGTGTATGAAGAAAGCTGAGAGGAGGGAAAAAGTTCAGTGGAGTTAGTTTGTCTCACTTTGGCCCCAAGTTGTGGTCACAGGTGACCTATTTTGGGTCTGCTATCCTCTGTTTCAAGAGTGTAACCAACTTGCAGCCCAAGAATGAAAATTAACTTTCTGATTAAGCACAATAGAAAAGAAACTAGAATACAGGGCGCTAACAATCAACTGTCAGTTATTAAATGCAATAATTCAAATGGTGAAAAGATGTACGTAGTCAAACCAGGGATAAGCTTTAGAGGAAATCTATCAAGGAGACTGCATGTGTTGTACAGTTTGATAGGTTCCTCTTGTCTGCTTTTGGTTTAGGACCCCAAACACCTCGCTCATCACTTTCAGAGAGCCCCAGCTGAAAAGGTGCTTTTGTAAAAAATAAAACCACTCAGAACTGGTTCCTAAACACTCCTGAATCCAACGGGGATTCTTGGAATACAGAGAGGAGTGTTAATGTAGAGGAGCAGGTTGTTCTCATGAACTATCCAGAGGTCAGACAGGGTTTCAGAGTCCTGCTCTAAGGCACTCCAGTAGCATGGGTTGCATGTTTGAGGGGACTGAATCCAAACCACCTTACTGCCATTTTGCCACTCCAAATATCTGATCAATCTAACATGGAAAAAATCAATTTTATCATATCAAATTGTAGCCTTAATCATTTTCCCTAACTGACCCTTAAATGTTTTCTTCAGGAGCAGTGACAGTGATCACTGCTGAATAGATCTGTCAGATGCAATACTGATACTGTGAGGGTACATTAAACGGACACTGATGCAACATTTCTGAGTGAGCGTGAGCTTCTCTGGTGCTGGAAACGAACTCTGAACAATGATCATATCATTTATGTCAGTGTTTCCTTTTGTAGAGAAGCTGAACTGTGAACAAAAAAAAAATCCAGTGTCAGGTTGTCGCACATTAAGAATAGAGAAGCTGAACTGTGAACAAAAAAAAGGTTGTCGCACATTAAGAGTTCTTGGATGACATTGGTATCAGTGCATCTTTGGTGCTGTTAACTGGCATGGTATGAAAAACAGCCACCAGCTAAATAGTAGCATAACAATCTAGTTTGGTTAAACAGCCTGACTACCAAGCACATCAACGTTTGCCCAAAATCTGTGGAGTTTGTGAGGCACAGAGGAAGGAGCACACTTGAAGTGTACCTAAAGGTTAAAAAATGTTTTCTTTGAGTGTCCAACAGGTTACGTGACTCTAGGCTTCACGTTTCTGACAGTGATGATCATTCATCACCGGCATCAGTGTCAGCTTGTACCTGAACCAGAAACCTGCTGTGAGTCACACCATAAGCAGCATTTTGTTCCCTAATGGTTGAATGTGACCTAATGTTGAGGCACTGTGCATGTACAGTATGTCTATGAAAACATATTTCTGATTTATTGTTACTTCTACAGGATTTAGTCATGTGTTGTATCTTCAAAATGTTCCTATTAGTATTTTAAAAAAGCAGTCATGGGCTCGGCTTCTTTGAATCGATGAAGATAGCTGGATGATTTTAAAGAGGAAGAAAGTGCAGCACTGTTTTAGATGAATCTGCTGAATCTGCTATCTACGTTATCATACCTGTAATGTTATAGCCCAAAGTGGCACTCGACAAAAAATAAAGTTAGTTGACTTCTAATTCTGCAGTGAAATAATTTACATATTTCACACTTTCTGATTGTTGCCAGCGGGAAGCAGCAGGAGTGGCCCACACAGTGGCAGGAGCCCAAAGGCTTGTATGTTGCCATAACAATCAGTTCAACTGGTGCAGGCAGGGTTTCACCTGACAGTGACACTGTTTTAGAAACTGCATTTTTAGATCTGGTGAGTTTTGAGGAAAAACTGACGCTAGCTCTGAATAACATAACATTTTATTAAAGAATTGTTCGACAGACAACTCTCTCAACAATGAAAGAAAAAGGCGCTACAAAGGACAAAGAAAAAAATTGTTTTTCTCCAAAAAAGACTTGTTCTTTTTTTTTTTCCAGCTAATGGTTTGTCTAAA